CCTCACCTGTTCAATAATTCATCAAATAATCCACATTCACTCATTAGTTACTGTCATTACCCAACAGATCAAACGAAAGTGTTCGATTCTCAACATTTTATAAGGAAAATAAGACAGTGACACGCATAAAGTATGATCAATTTTTGAGAAAAGTAGCATCTTTCTCGATCGACTCGAGTTGAATTTCCGTCGCGTTCCGTTGGACTCCGCCTATGCCCGTCGAAGGGAAGAAGGTAGCGCCTAGTAGAAGTTCCCCTGGTTTTGTCTCTCGCTTGCCAACTGTCCCAGGTGTACGTGTCTGAAGACGAGGGCAAAAGGCCCAAGAAGACTCGAGGCGTGTGGCTGGCGCGTGCTGCTAGTCCTCGATTCCGTTTCCCCGCCCTTTAAGTTGCTTCCGATCGTTGCCTGCCATAAACAGCATCACCACCGCCGTCGCGCCGCCGCCGCCGCCACCGCCACAATGGCCACGGTCACGCTTTTTAAACACGCGAAGTGTGCTTTCGTGACTGTATGCTTCCCAAAAATCGCGTTCCACCTCGATGCTCTCTTCCTATCGTCTTGGTCAGTTAAACGTCTTGTTATCCCATGTATTGTAGCTCCTTGTTTACTTGCTGGGACGTCCTTCAGGCTTGGAGGAGAGAGAGGGATTAGTTTTTGAATTTTCATATTTTTCTTGGGGATGATTTATTTGTTTGAAAGCGAAAGGTAAATTATTCTTGGGGACGAATTGAGATGATAAATAGAAATGTGACTGTGACTCGATTTTTATGTTAACCAGGTTAATGATACTATATGGTGTATATAAATTGTATTAGTGTAACATACAGTTGATATTATACGTAGTTATTTTAAAATGAGACTGAAAGATGTTCTGAACAGTGTTTTCAATAGTGATGCGCATGAGACGAGATAAATCTCGATCTCGTCTCGATCTCGTCTCGATTTCGAGATGTGATTCGAGATCCAGATTACTTGTAACATTCGAGATCGAGATCGAGATTTGGGCGAGATCAGGATTATTTCAAATTCTCGTCGAGATCTCGACAAAATCTTTTATTATATTGCCGATCGCCAATACATACGACGCCGTGACTGCTGCGCTAACAAACGATGCCACATACAGTTTTGTTAATATTATGAATTGCTTCTGCTTTCAGGGCAACTTCCAACCGGCACACAGTGCGATATTTCAGCGATCTAGCGGAACGAAACTTACGTGGTTCAATATCTCGGAAACTATTAGCCCATTCGCACACGAAGCTACTCAACAGAAACGTAATTGGTTGCTGACTGAAATCAAAAACTAGTTACCAATTAGTTAGTAATGTTTTCGAACATTTTTAGAAAAAACATCTACCGCTCATCGATATATACATCGCATACCGCTGACGAGATTAAGAAACTATTTACAGCGACAATATTTGAGTAACTGAACGAAAATTAAACTAATTAAAGTATCACTTAAAGAAAACATTTTCAGCAATAGCATTTGAGTAACTGAAAATAAATTGAAAAAATTTAAGTATAAAAAGAAAATATTTATAAACAAAATATTTTCAGCAATAATATTTGAGTAGCTGAACAAAAAAATTAAACTAATTAAAGTATCCCATAAAGAAAATATTTTCAGCAATATCATTTAAGTAATTGAAAATGAATAAAAATAACTAAATTATTAAAAAATGAAGCCCTAAAATAACGAGCCGTGCTATTTTCATAGTTGCACAATCTAAAATAAATTAGACTACATTTTTGAAATGATATGTTACAGTTTTGGTTTTCCGTGCAGGTATTCGATTAGGCAATCGGGCTACCAGTCTGGCAGTACCAGATTATCGATTAACGATTTTCACGGCGTGCGTGCCGACTGCAGGCGATGATTTAATTCGAACAAACGACTTGTCCGTCCTCACGAGTGGAACACCCGATATTATGATGAACTGCTGTGCAATTTAGTCAGAGGAATTATGATAATGCGCGTTAAAACTCACGCGTGTTTCTGCAAGATGTTTCCAAGACGACGAAACATTAACGATCCTGTTCAATTAACTGTTTTAGATGCTAAGTTTTGAATAAGATATTTAGAGTACCTTTAAGAGTGGTTTCATTGTAAAAATTGGTTATTCATAGGGTTTCGATTGGTGCCTGAAGAATTTTTATTTCGCATCATGCAAATTTCCAGGTTATTCATATTTAACTGTTCGTGTTCAATCCCTTTCCATTCTTGTTCCTTCTAGTAACGGTTTTAGATGCTAAGTTTTGAATGGGAAACTTGGAATACCTTTACGAGTGGTTTCAATGCAAAAATTTGCTTGTTTATGGAGTTCTGAGTAGTGCCTGAAGAATTTTTATTTCTCATCCTATAGATCTGCAGGTTATTCGAATTAAGGTGTTCATGTTCAACCCCTTTTCATACTTGTTCTTTTTACTAACGGTTCTCATTATTTTCGACGTGCATACCGTCCTGTTGAACAGGTTGTGTACAGGAAGCATTCTTTTAATCTTTTATTCAGTATAATGAAAGTGCAAATCATGATGTTGACACGTTGTTAGTCTTTTTACTGGCTGGTCGGTGTGGAGAACCGTCGTGCAAAAAATCATAACTGAAAAATGGTGTCAAAACTTATACACAATATACTTACATATTCTATGCATGCTGAAAATATTTTGTTTATAAATATTATCTTTTCATACCTTAATTTTTTAAATTTATTTTCAGTTACTCAAATATTGTCGCTGTAAATAGTTTCTTAATCTCATCAGAACCTGTAATTGTAATATTCTAAATAGGTACATGCTTCTAACACGTTACTTTATGCCTTTAAAATTAGTTTTAAATCGAAACTTCCTAAAATAACATCAAATATCATTTTTAGGTGAAAAATCGCTGTCGAGAAGCCTCCTCCTCGCCTAGACGAACCATTTTTAAAACCTTGGACTGGTAACGAAGAAGACGAAAACTGCAAGGTAGCGGAATAGGGGAAACGAGGATGTCAGATAGTCGTCGAGTACATAAAAGATATTTATAAAGTTTCACATGCGCTATTTTGTAACAATCCGGAGGCTCGGAAGAATGAATCGCGCGGCACGCGAGGCCGTATACTGACGTCCGTTCCATCCATCATGGTAGACCATTGGCAAAAGCGGCTCCTTTGATAATTCTAAGGTGTGTTAGCATTTCTATGGCGTTGAATTGCATCGGATCGTTTTCACCGTAGCGCCAAAAATCGCTGGTATCGCGGCCACCATTGTATAACGCCTGTTGAACAGGTTAGAACGTTTAACCATTTATCTCGTCATTGACGTTAATCAGAGTCGTTACGGCCGCGGTAGAAATCTTTTGTGTGGACACGGTATAATTCTGTTTGTCACGCGTAGATCGTCTTTGATGCATATGCATGCGCAAATCCGCCGAGTTGTTCAAGTATAAATACGTGCAAGGGAGATTTTGGGGTCAATTGAAACGTGGGTCAACAGAAACAAGTATAGTGATAGGGACAGGGCCCTATTCCTTGTTTATTGTTATTTCTTTCTTTTTGTGTAATTTACGTTGTAATTACTAGACTACGCATTTGATGTACTTACAACGTGGAATAATATAGTAAACATTCATAAATGTACACCCCCGCTCGGAAGTATGTGGACAGTTTCTTAATAAAAACAAATATCTAATTAAAATAGCGAATCTATTAATATCAATTATATTACGTTTCGATATGTTTATGTTGCATTGGGGAATATATTTTATTAATAGTTTTTTTTAAATATCATATTAGTAATTATAAAAAACTATAGAGATACCTGGATAATGTTAAAGTTGCTTTTACCAAACTTGGATAGTATTAATTTCGTCATTGTATCCGAAATAATATTATTTCATTTATTTTGTAAGCATTTCGCCATAAATGTTTTTGATATATTCAACATTCTTTCTGAACTTTTCTATCTAAACCAGAGCATTTATGATTACGATTTTTTTCGCAACCCAAAAAATATAAAATAAAGATACGTGAATATTTTTTGATGATTTATTGATTAGTTATTTCGTTCGAGAAGAAAGTACAACTTGAACCCAGACACAGCTTTAATATCCTAGAAACATGTGGAAAACACCATCAACTATCTCAAGGACACTAAACTATACAATAGTAGAGAGTACCGCTAATCAAACAGAAATTCAATTAAATGCGTCGCTAATCACCAAACAGTAGATGCGATGTAAAGTAAAACAATTTAAAAAAGAATCGACAGTCTAACGATAACTATGAATATTTTAATTGATTTTAGAATGTTAAATACCTACCTAGAAGATTTAGTTTCTTTGTCTACGTAATTAATTATTTGGCGAATAATTTGGCGACGTGGTTAGATCAGTTGAAACACTATTCATTTGGTCCTTGTAGAATTTTTCCTAGTAATTTTTCTAAATCTTGTTTGACTTTCGACGATTTTAGTGAATCTGGCTAATGTGTTCTAATTCAGCTGTATTTGGACCGCCAGGTCTACATTATTACCTTAATAGGCAAAGTAAATATTAATCCTGACCAAATGAATTTGGAGTTACATAATACAGTATTCAGTTGATGAGTGAGCATGCCAGTTTAATGACACTTTAATAGCGATAACCAGCCTAAATCTCTGAACAAAAAACAAACATCCTAATCAGATGAAGAGGAAGATAAAGCTTAACATATTCAACGAAAGATACCAGTGGGTGATCAAATTATAGTGATTAGGTGAAAAATGACGCATTTTATAATCCCACTGTAATTTTCACTGGAATAGTTGTAAAATATATCCTTTCTTGTTGTTGGCACATAGATAGAAAATATGACAATATTTTTTACAGTGGATATACAAATCTGTGTATACTCCGCAAAGAGAATAAACTATAACTAACTAAAACTATAAAAATCTATGTGAATTATTAAAATGTTAATTTTATTTGATTCTGGCAAATAAATTTGACGTCAATGTAAAGTTTAATATATCCAGAACTAGTATACAAAAGATCATGGAGGTACTTTTTGTTATTATACTTAAATTGTTATTACTGTATTCAAATTACATATTTATTGGCAGGCACTACAATATTAATATCAACATATAAAAATGAAATTAAAGAAACGAATACTCTGTCAACTTCACACTTTAATTTCAACAATAAATTATTATATTAAGCGTAAGTTATTAGTAATATCGCAAACTGCATGCTTTTACTAATATTTCACGAAATAGAAATTGTTGCGTCTTGTACTTGAAATTTTCGAATTTTGTCCATTAAACGTCGAACTGCGAAACGTCGCGATTTCGACTAAACGAAACGCCGATTCTGATTTATAGCATCGGAGTTATCCACGTTAGTTTCAGATTTCAACAAGGGCCAACGTAGTTGCTGGTAATAAGATAGGGCGCTGCTTAATATTCAATATAAAAATTGAATATAGCGTTACCGTTGATTGTTGGCGGAATCCGTATGCAAAACTTAATGCAGCGCTAGCTGTGCTACCTGTGTGGTCCTGAATATAAAAACACTACTTTGCAGTAGTGTTCTAAAGGAACGATACAAGTCGGACACGGTACGTATCTGCTTCCTGGCTGAAATTTTCGGTTATTCATATTCATGTCAGTTTTAAATAACGCCTCCGGGGTCTATTCGCGGTAGTTTCAGTTATATTACATTCGGTGTTTGATTACAAAGACCGCGTATGCGTCGTTAACCTCCTATACAGGTACGAACGCGTAACAACCGCGGGAATATAAAGACAATCGGTATCTGGCAGACCGATAATTATGCAAATCGTAGAAATGCATCGTTCAAATATGTACATAAATTTTGTGCGCACGACCAAATCGTTCTTCGTGACAATGTCTAGTTTCTAACACGTTATTTACAGTTGTAGTTATACGTGAGACCGTACATAATATTCGATAATTTATTTGCTGTAGAAATTTATTCTGCGCCTTTCATTCAACCATTTATGACTATAGTTTAACTCTAGTTTATTATTTAGAAGAAATCGTCATTTCGTTATTAAGTTACCGATCTTCTAGGTTCTCGATCTGATCTCCGTTACAATGAATCTATATGTATATACAGGGTGGTCATTTTATCTGAAGACATTGAAACATCTCGAGAACTATGCATCAGATCGAAACAAGTGGGTAATGAAAGTTGTTCGTTGCGAAGGGCATCCAATGATACCACACTCGACACCTCATCATCACTCCCTGGGGGTGAGAGCGGGCGAAGATAAGAAACTTAAATGGGAAACTCCATTTTTCATTGTAGATTTTGATTTTCCAGAAAAAAATACACAAATTTGACCTAGGAGTTTTTGCATTTCGGTTTATAGATGGTGCTGTAATGGACAAAAATTAAACGGAGCAAAAAATCGTTGAAAATTGGGGACAGCTCAAGAAATACACATCAGTAAAAAAAAAACAAATGTAGACTCAGTTGATATTTTCAAAAATGCCATTCAACGACACCACAATTGATCCCCCACCCCCACCTCCTGAGGGTAGGAGAGCGAATTATTTGCAATTCTTCAATGGAAAACGCCAACTCGACGTTGTATTTTCTCGACAAATCAAAGAGGGTACTGCTCGACGCGCCACTGTAACTATGGAACTCTTCAACTATGGAAAATCAAAGAAAGCGGCATGTAATTGCATGCAGTCGTTTGAGATAAATTGTCAATATTCTGTAGAATGTTCTACCCCATTCTCGAGATGTTAGCCGAGATTATTATTTATTCCTCTCATTAAAAAATTCTCATCATGGTAGAATATTTAGTTCAAAATGAAAGAAGTAAAGATGCACCTGGAATAATATTTTGCTGGCAAACCGCACGATTTGTGGAAATATGGCTCTATACTACTTCCAAAGAGATGGAGAAAAGTAATAAAGCAAAATGGATTATGTACAATTCGGTAATCTACATTTATATACATATACTAAAAATGTACCCAGTGTTTTGGACTAACAAAATTTTCTAACTAACTTGTCTTTATAATTAAAGAACAGGAAATCAATTATAAAGGAAGTTGAAAGGAATTGCAACTCCTTTTCACCCCTTCAAGGGTTGAATTATTATAAATGCCGAAATAGGTGTTCGATTAATTGTATTAAAGAGCATTAAGACCAAGTTTCAAGCAAATCCGACCACAAATAAAATATTCCTCATACAAACGCATACAATTGCAACTCCTTTTTTACCCCCTTAGGGGTTGAATTTCGAAATATTCTTATTCCTTGTATACATCATAAAGGAAGCCTCTGTGCAAAATTTCAGCTTTCTAGGTTTAAGGGCTTAGCCTAGGCGTTGATAGGTCAGTGAGTCAGGATTTTCATTTTTATTAGAATAAGAACAGTACAGTAAGATCCCGCTTAACGCTGTTTCAGTATTACACGGTAGTATTTGGTAGTTTTTTTTTTTAGTTTGTACAATATGATTTAAATTTTGATGGCAGTTCAAAGGCAAAACGAAGTGTTATTGGTGTGAGGTCTTGCTATCCACAAGTGCTTGCTGAACGGAACAAGTCTAGACAAACGACTTTAGATCACTTCGTCACAAAAAAAAAAGTATCAAATGAGGAAGAACCATCCTCGTCATAAATACGACATATTTACTCGAACTTTTTCTTGATTTTCATGAATGTTTTATGAATAAAAATGGATATTACCAATAACTAAGTCTATAATTGATGCAATAAAAATGAATTTAACAATTAGTGTTACAAAAATGAAACAGAAAAAGAACTGATAAATTTTGTTATTCTTTGGTCTGTTTCACTTATCCCCATTATTTACGTGTTAAGATGATCTCGTTTAACGCTGTTTCGTTTAGCGCTGGATCTTATTGGAACGCATGTATTCCACGCGGGTGAAACCGCGTAGCACAGCTAATATAACATAGAAACATAAAATATTGTGTTTGTATTGCTTACTAATAAAACGATAGAAACTTTTTGGACAGCCTGATATTTCTAATTGCCAGTGAATAGGTTAATCTAATGTTTGCATTTGGTATAACACACTGAAGGAAATTTGAACTCGATTGGCAACGAATAAATGGGCGATCGAAGGAAAACGAGATCAGTTACGGTAACCGCGACCGTCGGTCGCTCGAATTAAATTTGGAAATGGTTCGCATCGTTACAGGCGTAATATATGTACTCTAATGTGGTAACGATCGCGTTGGACCAACCCACAGGAAGGTAGTCTCGTAATTAACTTAAGCCTAATAGAGCGTTTAGTAGAGGATACTTTGAGGTAGGTCCATTGTATTAGCATAAATCATGGAGGCAAATCTCCAAACCGTGGATGAGGAGCAGTTCATCATAGTTCACAAATGAAGGGGTTACCATACGGTTATAAGACGGTCGTAATTACGACAGTGGATGCTCCGAGGGATTTTCCGCCGTGACGGTCAGTCGTAAACGTGTTAAATTTTTTCTCCGTGCCCTGAATGGAGACTAGGGTTCCTATTAGTGATCATGTCGGCATTAGCGTACCTTTATATTTAAATAGGTGGCCGAAAGAAACCGTCGTGAACGACCGAGTGCAATAATTCTTAAAGAAATTAAAGCATCGAGATGTACTTTACAAAAGTTCATTCTATACTTGTAAACTGTTAAAGTACAATTAAAGTCTATTCCAAGCTGCAGTCGTTGCAAAATATTTACCCGATTCTCTTGTCTAACATGTTGAAATGTAGCCACTGTTTAGAAGTGAATAAATTGATTATTAATAGAGTTTTACATACATATTATTACATATTATATTTTTATGTAATGTATTTGTATATATTATTATATATTGTATACACGTTACAGTTTAGTATGTTATTATAAAATATGATTATTGACATAGTTTTCATATATAAATAAATATTGATATAAGAAAATATATTTAATTCTTTTTATATATTCTCAGTTTATTTAATATATAATACGAAGTAAATTGATTATTAATATAGCTTTCAATATATATACTTGAAGACTATATACAAGTGTATTAATAATCACTTTCTTTACTTCGAAATAGTGACTACATAATAACAAACATGTTGGACAAGAGGTAAATTGGGTAAATGTTCTGAAATGATTACGTCTTAACTGTTACAAGATTTTTAATTTCGTCAAATTTCGAACGTGACTCCGTCGATCTTAGTAATTTTCGTTTACCAAACATATTTCATATAATTGTAGTTCCCTCCGACTGCCCTAACTCCCTTTATCAATTTTCGGAAATAAGAACCGTGACCGCGTTTCGGTTTAATTATCGAGAATTCCAAAAAGCCTGGAAACGAGGTGAGCCGATGTAACGACTTTAATCTAAAAATGGAGGGTTTTTATGGGTTTCGGTGAAGCTAGAGTAGATAGGTACTATATCTCAGAGGTTCGGGTAGCCGATCCCTTTGCGCTTTACCTAAGTTCAGGGTTAAAAACCCTTCCTTCGGAAAGGAACCCCACGAATGGTCCAGGGGGCGGCGAAATGAAAATACATATTTTCATCCGTGAATTTGTTTTTTTTTTCTCTCCCACGCTACACGTAGAACGGAAATCTATTTTTATTTGTCGAAAGAGCCTAGCTGTGTCGTCGAACCGAACTGTATTTTTATTAGAAATATTTGCTTTCGTGGGAGTAATAAAATGATGTATGCCGTGAGGTCGAAAGTGATAGTCGAATTCTTCTTCTTTTATTGTAGATATTATTTGTAGATTGGTACATAAAAATTATGAAATGATAAAAGAAGTGTATAGGTACTTACGACGGACAGCTTATGTTATTTTATGGTATGAATATAAGTAATTGAAAAACTATAATAACATCATTGGCTTAATTGAGAAATTGTCTTAAGATACTGAAACCGTCAAAACCTAAATATTCGTATACTTTTGATACGCAGTCTACATAATAAAGTATTTCCATGGCAAAATATTGATTGATAAAGTACTAGTATAAAGTTTACTAAAAAGTAAACAGAAAGTCAATAAATAATAAACAAACAGTGCGATTGCTTTGTTGCAGCGACGAGCCAATTTAGAGAATCGAAATTCTGGAAATCGAATCAGGATCTACCAATCGGTGTCTATATCGGACAGTGACCACCGACGGATCTATCGCCGTCTTCCGGGGCCACGACAATAACTTTATTTCGCCACTGCTCCATTTTCCTTACTTGTTAAACTTGTTTGAACGTACCGACGCGTCCACGCCGCCTAGTTATTTGACCACGCTCCGAATATACCATTTCGAGGGCGTAATCGCTAATCACTCGTCAGATTTCAGAGAAAGGGACAAACTCACAAACAAAAGACTAGTTCGGAAGTTACTTCAGTTCGGGAGCGCTGGCTCCGACCACCGAGACACTGTATAACTATGCTTCCTGGCTGATTTTACGATTTCTACGAAACTACGCTACCTTTCGTAGACCGCAACGTTCGTCTTTTTACAGAGACTACGACGCTTCGGTGCAACTGTTGGTCAAGGTGATTTATTCCCTTCTATTATCTAATCCAGCGATCGCCAGCCTTGAAGAGCATAATGGCC